AACTATCTTTGCTTTAATTATTAAAAAAAATATTTAAATTTCTTTCTTTTTCCTGAGGTGACTGGTGAGGCTCCGCCTCCCTTGCCTCTAGTGACTGCACGTCCCTGAATCCAAATATACATGCCTGATTCACTGTGCTAAATTAGACTTCATTTTTTTAAAGATGACTTTATTTTTTAACAAAAAATTAATATACAGTTGTTTTATTTGTTTTTTAAAGAATATCTTCTTGATTATGTAGCATAGACCTCTAAAGAGATCCTTGTAGTAATTTACTTCACATATATTAAATTTTCTAGTTGAAACTGAATGTGGACAGAAATGATCAGCTGTTAAGTGTGCAACAATGCATCCAAGGAGGTCCTGTAAGTAATCAGCTTTGTTTATATGAACCAAAATGCCCAACAAGTGCATGGCATTTATTTGTCATAATGTCAGAAGATGTTTCCATAGGGTGAGTTTAATGTGTTCAGCAATAAATGACAAACACAAAACCAATAGAGTTCCTCAAAGAAATATGTTTTAGTAGAATAACAAATAAAAGTAAATGCCTTTTATGAATGGGGAAGTTGATTGGAAAAGTATTAAAAATTGCAATATGAGAATGGGTCAATTAAAGGTCAGTGTGTATAATAAACTTACAAAAATAAAATTTCAAGCAAGTAAAACATAGTGGCTGAGTTACTAGATTTGACTATGCTAAAATCCCATTCAAGCACAGAACTGTTTTCTTCTATAGTAATTAGTGTCCTTGACTAGGAATAAGGTTTCTGTAGTATTTGACTCATCTTCAAAGGCAGCTCCATGTTGAGTTCATCGTGATAGCCCAGTCGCAAAGGTTTGAGTTACTTTTACCACTTCATTGTGGTAGGTAATCTACAACTGTTGTGCCAGCCAAAACTAAGGAATAGATCCCTTGGACACAGCCTAGTTTACATGATGATTTAGCAGGAGTTTTCAACACAAAAGTTCCTTCTCCAACTCAAGGATTAGACTATTCTAGGAGATCCTGATCTTAACAAGAATCATTAGGTTCAATGTTAACTACCCTGATGTTTATAAACACAAGAAACTACGTATTGTCATGGTTTTGGTTTTGTTAGTTTAAGTTTGTTTCTTCCTATTTCAGATCCTAATTATCTCCAAACACCAGTGTCACTGGACCTGGATGTTGGAATATATGACACAACCCATAGATGTTTGGATTGATGTACTGATTGTATTGTCTATGGATCAAATGTTGTATCCCTCACTGTAACTATCAACTAGTGAATCATAATCAGATATTTATATATTTATTGGAGTGTTGTTGCTATGTTTTTAATTGGTCTTTGATATGCACAATTATGATGTTGAAATGGGTGACCATGCAGATTGGAAAAAAAAGAGTAAACCAAGAATGTTGATCAAAACTGCAAAAAGTACTTCTGATGTTTAAACATTTTAGAAACCTGTGATTTATAACACTTGCAATTCAATGCAAAGTAGCTGAAAATAGTGAAGGAATTTGATAACAGTCCGCATAATTTTTAATGTTCTCATTCACAGCAGTTACTGAAAGCCAGTAGATACCTAATTATGGTGCAAGATGTGGCCCAGCTAAATTGTTCTCAGAGAATGAATTTGCCATTCAGGTAAATGTATCAGTAAAATATTAAGGATAATATAAACAAAATTAGAATTAGCATTATAGAAATGCTCCTTCGTTGTTTTTTTTTAAGTTTTCTTCTTTCTAAACAGATACCATGAAGATAATAAATACTAACTGTATTGAATTATTTATTGGGTAAATAATGTGTTACGTTGCATACTTTCCTTTTTAGAGTGTGATAAATCTTTTTTTAAAAATAAATAAATAGAAATATACAAATATAAACAAACACAAGAATATAAACACAGCTATAAAAAGTTACAGTATATCTCTGGGTAGTTTTAAGACTGCTTATCCATAGAGAGTGCCTTACACCAATAATGGAAAGTTCCTATCCTTAAGGGATCCTGAAAGTGGGCATTCTCTTCAGGGACTTCCCTATTCTGGAGAAGCTTGGTCCCCAAGGGACAAGAGTAGCTTCCATTCTCCTGTCCCCCTAGAGGTTCATAGGAACTTGACAGATTTGGAAATCCTTGGGACTTGAGAGGCTACACCTCCTGTTGCTAGAAATATTAATCCTAATTTTAAATCTAGTTTTCTATTGCATTTTTCTTATTGTATGTTATTATCACCAGAGGTGAGCTGCTGGGGGTTCGCATGGGTTCTAGCTAGGATCTGCCCAGTTCAGCGAACCCCCAAATGCCACCCCTGGCTGGCTCCGCTCACCCCGCCCATCCTGCCCTGCCCCTCCCAGGAGACTCCACGTGGCCCGTTCATCATGCAAGGTAAGTGCAGGGCCCGCGCGGAGGCTTAGGGAGGGCAAAAAATGGGCTTACTGGAGATTCCAAAAGTCTGGAAACGGGCCTGTTTCTGGCCTCTGGAGTCCGGGGGGGGGGAGCAGTTTTTGCTCTCCCTGAGGCTCGAGGAAAGCCTCTGGAGCCTGGGGAGGGTGAAAAAAGGACCTTCCAGAAGTTCAGAAATGGGCTGTTTCCAGCCTTTGAAGGGCCTCTGGAGCCCGGGGGAGTCAGTTTTTGCACTCCCAGAGGCTCAAAATAGCCTCTGGAGCCTGGGGAGGGTGAAAAATGCTCCACCCCTGACTATTCACCAATGCGTTAGCTGCAGCTGGGGCTTTTGTGTACTGCTTAGAATAATCTTGACTGAAATAGTTTACAAATTTATAAATAAAAAGATTTTAAAAATTAAATGTAGAGTGACAACAATATTATTATATCATCGGGTAAAACAATACGGGCAATTGTGCTGCTAACATCACTCCAAAAATGTACAGGAAATCAGCCTTTTTAATGAGGTGCTTGCTGAGCTTTGAGTATGAGCAGTTAGGGAAATGTTTCATGAGTATGAATGGATGAAACGTGTTAACTTCTGTATTTTATTGTAGTGATCCAAAAGATTTTGCTTTTGGTCTTATACTTTTCAAGGTGTAGACTTTTCCTTTTTTTAGTACACTTTTATAAACATTCACTATAATGCATTTAAAAAAAATGTTTACTGCATTTGAATGTTTTCCTCTGGTTGTTAAATTATTTATAAATAATATTAACATGGATAACGAAACTAATCTTTCCATTTTTTCCAGGTTGTATGAGCATACCCACGATCTTAGGCTTTTCCTGTTCAATGACATCCTTGTTATTTCACAATGCAACATCTCCTATAAGCCCTTTGAACGAATTCCCAAGGTCACGTACCAGTTTTTGACTACAATCATGCTCCATCAGCTCCAGATTGAAGACATTCCAGATTCTAAATGTATATTTTTCATTACTCTAAAATAGTAAAAAAATTGTTGAATGCTGTCATAGGAATTTTTTGGAGTGTAAGACACACCAAGGTTTTGAAGAGGCAAATTTAAAAAAGGGGGTTTTGCACTCTGCAAACCTCCCAAAAACGGCCACTTTTTTAAAAAACGAAAAAAGGCACGATTAGCCTTTAGGGGGCTTGCAGAGTGCTCCTGGGGCTGGAGGGGGGGAAATTGAGCAAAAACCACCTCGTTTTTCACTCATTTCTGCCCTCCCCAGCCCCCAGGAGCTCTCTGAAAGCCTTCTACAGGCTTGGCACGGCCATTTTGGTGAAGCAGGCGGAGTTTCAGGAGACAAAAAATGCTGTATTCAGAATTTAAGATGCACACAGATTTTCAGCCTCTTTTTTGAGGGAAAAAGGTGCGTCTTATACTCCGAAAAATACCATAATTAAAACATTAAGTATTATTACAAAATCTCAGAGACATTCTCAGAATCAATCTGTGTGATGCTTGTAGTGAGGTCTGACTTCTGGCAACTTCCTGCAATATTCTTGGGGGAAAAAAATGCACTTTGCCCTTCCTTCTTTTTAGGGCTGAGAAAATGGGGCTGGCCAAGCATGAAATCTTCTTACCTTTGCTACTTGTTCGGAACTGGGAGTGTGTGTATACGTGTGCTTGCCTCACTCGCTTCTGCGCATACGCAGAGTATCTGTGATGATGTCTGGCCAGGTGGGCAGTACCTACCACCACTGCTGCTACCGGTTCACCCGAACCACGGCGAACCAGCAGAATACCACCTCTGGGGCCGGCCCAGGGTTGTTCAGCTGGCTTTCTGCCTAAGGACGAACTAAAATTCCCAGTTTTTAATCTGATCCCTTAACCACTGAACCAAACTGTCTCTCTCTTCTTTAGCAAGAACCGTTATAACATACAACATTGCTTTTGAAAGTAGGCGTGTTCCAATTTGAGCATTTAGGAAAGAAAGACCATTGACTCCATTTTAAAGTGAAAGGTTTACTTTTACCAAAGTCGAGCAGTTACAGCATAAGCAAAGCTGGATCTGAATACACCCGCGCAAAGCCTGCGTTTTCCCTGCCCCCCCACCCTTGACTAATGCATTAATGTCCAATGATAGTTGAATTAGATGTTTTGGAAATGGCCTTCAGGTGTGACACCTCTTTAGTGGAGTTTCACACTCTGTTCTCACAGCTCCGTCCTGGATTGGACAGTCTGTTCCGGATTGACACTTCTTGTTCCTGTCACCCTGACATTTCCCCACCTACCTCCCCAATCTCCCCTCTCCCTGCATTTTATGGCAAGATGCCAGCAAAATGGAGCATACTGAAGATGGCAGAGCCTGACATTCTTGCACATTTTTTTTAATGTAGCAGGAGAACCTCTGTTTTAATTATTGTTTAGAGCAGTTTGTTTAGTGACCATCCAACACCACTGGAAAAAACTACCATTGCAGCATTCCCACAGTCATGTGATCAGAATTCAGACGCTTGGTAATTGACTCATATTTATGACAGTTGCAGTCTCTCAGGGTCATGTGATCACTTTTCGTGACCTTCTGTCAAAGAAAGTCAATGGAGAAACCAGAGTCACTTAACAGCAGTGTTACTAATTTAATAACTGCAGGGATTCACTTAACAACTGTGGCAAGAAAAAGTGGGGCAAAACTCACTTCAGAAATGTCTCAGTTAGCAACAGAAATTTTGGGCTCAGTTGTGGTTGTAAGTCAAGGACTACTTGTAATAGATGGGAAGAGCTGTTAGTATATATTTCTTAGGAATTCCCATCCCTTACCTTTCTCTTTCTGTGATTGTTGATGCAGGAGAGAGAGAAATATTCACAAATTTTCACCATGAGTCTGCTATAAGTCTCAGTATTTGCTGCTGGGGTGGCAGATTTATCAAAATGAATGCGTGGCACTGTAATGGATACTAAATCATATCCAAAACCCCTAAGGCTTTATTTGAAATTCTGGAAGTCTATTTGGAATACAAAGTAGCATGTGTACCCAAACACAAAGAAACAGCAGAACAATGCAAATCAAACTGATGATAGTTTAAAAACAACTGCTCAGTAATGTAATGAATGCTTCCATTACCCTCATTCTGGTTCCCTTGGGGTATTTAAGTCATTGACTGAGATAGATGGCTATAGAAATTGAAGAAATAATAAATAAAACAAATTTTGGTGCAAGGACAAAAGCCTGAACCTTTTCTAAATCTGCACACTCTGGGCAAAGTAATTTGACCAAAAATATTCCAGTGAAAGGAATTTTTTTTAAAATCAAATACATCTAAAGATGGCTCTATCCCGACTATACTTTAGAAGAGGAGCCAGAATTAAGCCAAACAACTAAAAGTCAATAACCACATAGTCATTCTTACTAAAGGTATAAAACTAGGTCAAAATTAATCTGAACATTTAAAATTTAGCAAGGCAAATAGTGACAAACATTCCTGATTTATTAAAGCCAAAGTTGTCCTAACAAGTATGTTCAATAGGGGCACTTTTGTATTTCAACAATTAAACCATAGCGAGGGCAAATAAAAAAAAATGGGAGGGAAAGAAAATTCCATGAAGCGAATATTACACAAATTTACTTTATCACCAATTCAGAGAATGGTATTTATTGTTGCGGTTTGTGTGATAAAAACAATGGGAGAAAGATTTAGGTAGACTGTTGTGTAAAAAAGACTGAAATATTAGGAAATCATCTTTAAGGGATTGCAATCAATAATGTTTATGACAGCTTTGGGATATTTTCCAAGTCAACTTAAATTGTTGGTTTTAGTTGATCCCAGGACAATTCAGCAAATACAAAAGTTAAAATAATTTTGATGGAACTGTGGCCAATAATAATAATATAAATGAAGTCAATCCAGATAGATTACAATGATTTTGACAGAAATGTAGTCACCAATAATAAAGTAATTGAATTAAATTATTAATACAGTGTTGAACTGTCCTTATCATGACAAGTTGTCCTGCAGTGAGTTGGCCACGATGAGTTGTAGTTAGCTAGAAGATGGCTAACCTTTTTGTCCTTGTGTGCTGAAATTGCACGTGCAAGCCAGCATACACAGACATATATCCACCCACCCACCCACCCAGCCACAAGGCACCCACCCACCCACC